GACTGGCAGCACGGCGAGAGTCCGACTCCGGGTCGGCAAGTGTAGGAAGTAGAAGACTGAGGAGGAGAAGGCAAAGGGGCACGCAGAGGAGCAGTGGACAGACGCAGAGACATCCTGTGTGTGCCAGGGACAGGAGGAGGACGCTGACGCGAACCGCGACCACTAGGGCGAGCAGCTCGGACTGGCGACGCAGGGCGGGGCGCAGGCTCACGACGCTCAGCAAGACCTCCAGTAGGACCAGTGTAGGGAGAAGGAGAAGGCAGGGGAGAGGCGGGCTGTAACTGTGACTGCGACGGGATAGGCTGTGGACACTCTACGGGAGGAGAAGGACCAGTGGAAGGCGGGAGACCAAGAACCTGCTGAAGGAGCGGAACGAAGTACGCCCGAGGCCGCGCAGCACCGCCAGAGACAGCAGGGACAGCACCAACACCTCCAGAGGCAGCACCAGCACCAGTAGCAGCTCCAAATCCAGCACCTCCAGCAGCGCCAGAAGTACCCTCAGGAGGACCGACAGTCGTAGACTCAGCGCCAGCACCTGCAGCAGCTCCAGCTCCAGAGGCACCCCCGGGCCCGGCAGCTCCAGTACTCTCTGTACGAGCACCTCCGGGACCCGTGGCACCAGCTCCCTCGGCAGCAACAGAACCTCCAGCACCCGCAGCACCCCCAGCTCCAGCAGCTCGCCTCCAGCGCCGGGCAAACCACTCATGTAGCTCCAGAGGAGAGAGCGGCTCGCGGCGCAAAGAACGGTCCGGAGAACCACCAGGAACAGAAGCAGCAGGCGCAGCACTCCCAGGCGAAGCACCCCCAGACGCAGTACTCCCAGGCTCAGCACCCCCAGGCTCAGCACCCCCAGGCTCAGCACCCCCAGGCTCAGCACCCCCAGTCTCAGCACCCCCAGGCTCAGCACCCCCAGGCTCAGCACCCGTAGGCTCAGCACCCGCAGGCTCAGCACCCCCAAGCTCAGCACCCCCAGTCTCAGCACCCCCAGGCTCAGCACCCCCAGTCTCAGCACCCCGAGGCTCCGCACCCGCAGCAGCACCAGAGTCACCAGTGACCTCGACAGGCTCGACCGCGTCTACCTGAGACACACCTGAAGGGGCAGGACCCTGAGGGGGGAGGGGGTCTACCGGGGGGGGACCTGGGACCAGGAAGAGGGGTGGCGGGGGGAGGGACGGAGTGCGGTAGGGGAAGAGCCGGTAGAAGGGAACCGACTCGTCGAACGTGACGTCCTGGGAGGACAGAACACGTCGAGAGGTGGGGTGGTAGAACTGCCACCCAGGGGCGTCGAGGGGGAACCCCAGGAAGACGCAGGGAGCAGCGCGAGGGGACAGCTTGTCCGCAGACAAGTCGCGGACAAACGCCCGAAATCCCCAGACACGGAACGCCGACGCATCGCCAACCTTCCCCGTCCACAGCAAAGCTGGGGAGGTCTCCGGTCTGGAGACCCTGGGCTGAAGGTTGATCTGATGCGCCGCGTACCGAACCGCAAACGGCCACAGAAAATGGGGGGCAGCCGCATGCACCATGGACGTACGGGCGACGTCCATGACCATGCCGATGCGGCGCTCAGCAATCCCATTCTGCTGTGGAGAGTCCGGAAGCGTGAAGGTCTGGCGGATGCCTCGTGCACGACAGTAGGCTTGCAGAAGGCCGGAGGAGAACTCTCCGCCTCTGTCCGAGTGCAGACGCAAAACAGGAAAGTCCGAGCCGAAGCTCCGCCTGAGCTGGAGACGAGCTGCGCGGATCCAGTCGATCAACACCTCAGTGACCTCACCCTTGCGGCGCAAGGGGAAGACTGTGGTGTAACGCGAGTAGTCGTCAACCACCAGCAGGAAGTAGCGCTCGTGACCCTGTCCACGGACGCGGGTTGGGCCCCACACGTCCATATGAAGCGTCTGCATCGGGGCCTCCGTCGGAGGAAATGGGGAGGAGTGAGGGGTAGCCCGCAGGCGACCCTCGACACAGGGGACACAGGGAGGGCCAGGCCCCGGAGGAAGGGGAGGGAGGGACCGGGGAAGACCAGAGACAAGAAGGTGAGAGGCCATGCCCCGGAGACGAGGCAGGGAGGGGTGACCCATGCGGTGGTGCCACAGGAGGGTCTCGTGGGACAGGAGGCGACACGAGCAGGGGGCAGACTCAGGACCAGACCTGGACGCTGCAGCAAACACCTGACCGGACGCAGCTACCTGACCAGACGCAGGAGGAGGAGACGGAATAGTGAGTGTGTACAGGCTCGACCCCGGCCCACGTGTGAATGTGGTCAAGTGTCGACCCGTGTCCGCGTCCGTGCAGTGGGTGTCCCGTCGGCGCGCAGGGGTGAACTGGTCAACCCCTGCATCCTGTAGGTCAGCACCCGCCACCAAGTTCGTAGAGAACGAGGGGAGGTAGAGACCGGACAGGGAGTCAGACGGGACCGCAGGGCACGGAAGGACAGTGGAGTAGCGAGCCAGAACAGGACCCCCAGAGGGGTCCGCCAGGGAGACTGCCACTGGCCGACTAAGCGGCGTGAGTGTGGTGCGGTCTCGAAAGAAGGAGCGAGACGCTCCTGAGTCAAGAGTGAAGGTGAGAGAGGGCGGAGCCGACGCAGTACCTGAGAGCGCAGACTCACCAGCACCTGAGGACACAGACTCACTGGCACCTAGAGCGACAGCCACACGAGTACCTGGAGCAGCAACCTCAACAGCACCTAGAGCAGCAATACCAATGCCTGGGTCGGGCGGGAAACACCGGTAACAGTCACCCTCCTCACTAATAGTCACAGCATACATGGCACCAAGAATAGCATCAAAGTCAAGATCAAAGATAGCTACTCCTGCCCTAGACAGCTGGTCCCAGCGAGGGATCTCAGAGGCGTCAGGAAACTGGCGGCGCCAAGCGTCATTCAGGCGGCCGAAGCAGCGCTGGGTGGAGTGTGGACCACCACACGGCTCACCCGCACGGTCGCCAGTACGCAGGACGTAGGTGCACGGACCAGTACCCCCACCCCTCTGACGTGCAGCGTACCACTCACGGAGCTGCTGCGGGGAGAGAGTCTCCTGACCACGCTGCTGCTGCTGGCGCTGACCACCACCGGAGCCACTCCTCTGCGACGAGCCACGACCTCCGCCGCCGCCTCCGCCGCCGCCGCCGCCACCACCTCCGCGTCCACCGCCACTCCCACCGTCGCCGCCACCACCGCCGCCGCCGCCCCCGCCTCCACTGCCGCCGCTGACACCTCCACCCCCGCCACCACTACCGCTACCACCCCCACCTCCTCCGCTGCCTCCACCGCCGCCTCCACCGCCCCCGCCGCCTCCACCACCGCCCCTGCCCCCCTTGCCCTTGCCAGGGCGACGTCTCCCACTGGGGGCAGACGCCGCACCGACCGACTCAAAACCAACTAGGTCGGCTGTAGCAGCAGAGGCGACAGAGGGCAGGAGGGGGGAGGGGGAACACCCCTCAAAGATGGGGGTGCGCGGGTCACCACGAGAGGCCCCTACAGCGGCCTATATTACATGCATCAGCTAAATATAATCTGACAAACGCGCCATCCGGAAAGCATCTATCTCGCGGAAGAATAGCGGCGGGAAGCGAGGGACGCAGCGCCAGCTGGAAGGAGAGAGGAAATCGACGCCATGGCTGAGGGATGGAAAACTTCGGTGGAACAAAAAGCGGCAAAAGCGGGTTTACAGATCGGATCGCCAAAACACATGTTCCTCGTCTCCACTACATAGATTTCCGATGCGCTACGACCTAGATATAACCTCTACATGAACGTATGGAGAGGAGCTACTTGAGCCTGGCAGCGAAGCACCTCCCCAAAGGCGCATATTTTGGTCGGGAGGGAGGACTTGGAGACCCGCTAAATATGATAGTACTTTCGCCAATGTCGCCTCGGCGTTTGCGAAGTGTACCAGCTACTTGCGAAAGAGTCGCGCGCGACACCCGCGTTTAGCTTTGGGCAGATCAAACCCATCCCATCCCATCTCATCCCATGCTGCTGCCAACTTTTCCTCTACCATAACACCACTTCGATAACTCCATTTGAAGGCACCACAGCTCCTTATGCATAGAATTCCAATACAAACACTTGCACTTCAACACTTTCAAATACATGTATGAAAGTGTTGCTTTGCACCCTCTAAGAGCATCAATGTAAGCTATCTAGAGGAAGCCAAAGCTACCCAAATAACTACTTCACTTTCTTGAACTTCCCACAGAGTGCGTTCACAATCGCCGGGTAACCAACCTCATAGTAGCCGCCCGCAAGCTTCCTCTGTATCAACGCACGCGCGTCAGCCAGAGTCAATGGCCCACTAACCACTCTCTGAGTGAAGTTGTGGCGCTTTCCGCTACCTCCCTTTTTTTTCCAAGTCACGTCACTGCCATCTGGGGTACCGCCGCAGGTAAAGGCGAAACCCGTGCTGCCAATTGCAGGTGTACCAGTCAGCTTGAAGACTTGGACGAACAGAATGACATCGTACTTTGTTGCTGAGTGCCTGCCAACAGCGGATGGAGGGGTGGGGGGTCTGCTTTTGAGTCGACTCAAAAGCACACACACAGTGACATTCTACCTCGTTGCTGAGTGCCTCCAGCAGCGGATGGAGGGAGATGGTTGTGACAGGGCGGGATGAGGAAGGGGTGGGGGATTGCGGCTGGGAAAGGAGATCGTGGGGGAGGAGGCGGGGGAAAGGGAGGAGGGGAGAGGAGGTAGGGGGAAGCATTTGGAAAGGTGGATGAGGATGGGGGCTGGGCCCACTTAGGATTGGTGCATGAAATTTGCACATAATGCCTGAGGCCCCTCGAGAGTGTGATAAATTCCGAATCCCGTCAGTCGAGAATGACAACAAGCAACAACAGCAGCAGCAGCAGGAGCTGGTCCTACGCACCTCACGAGCTGGTCCTACGCACCTCACGAGCTGGTCCTACGCACCTCACGAGCTGGTCCTACGCACCTCACGAGCTGGTCCTACGCACCTCACGAGCTGGTCCTACGCACCTCATGAGCTGGTCCTACGCACCTCACGAGCTTCACGACGGCTTTTCCCGATGCACCTTTGCAGCCGGCCGCAGAAGGTTTCAACTTAGCCACGTATTTTTCTGGCAAGAGGAACAGCAGGTATAGGGGCGAATAAATCAAGCGTATTTTTCTGGCAACGGTGACGGCAGGAGAAGGGGCGCACGGAAACGGCAACGGGGACGGCAACGGGGACGGCAGGTATAGGGGCGCATCGCATGAAACACGCTTGTGCCAGACGTGTTCTTTCAGGTCGCTGTTACGTTCTAGATAAGCTTGTGTGGGTGAAGCATGTAGGGAAACCTACGACACATGCGCAAAAAGCACAGCCGTAGACTCACCCACAATCGTCCCTGTCCCCGCCAGAGGTTTGGCCACCAAACTCGAGGCCTCGGTCACGGATGTTGATAATGAGGATGAGGAGGAGGATGAAGCGCTGCCGCTGTGTGCGAGGAGTGGCGGAGAGATTGAGGCAGACGCCGCCGCGACCGTGAAGAGTGCCGCACCTGACGGGGGGGGAGCATCATGGCATGCCAGCATGAGGCGTCTGGGAAACTAGGGGCGCGGAAACTAGGAGCATCATGTCATGCCAGCAGCGCTGGCGGCACTGCTGGTTATATGCCCGCCACCGCTGCTGCTGCTGCTGCGGAAGGGTGGGCACTCCCCGAATATTACAAGGCAGAAATTGTTTCGATAACGAGGGATACCCCAAGGTCACCCTCGTATGTGGGTGACAACGAATGTGACTTCGGCTGGATTAACATCGGGGTATCACGGTAAAAAACATCGGGGTATCACGGTAAAAAACATCGGGGTATCACTCCCCGGGGTAACCCTGAGGAAACCTCGAAGTAGAACTTTGCGATATATATTTTTTTTTATGGAAGGGAGAGAAGAGGGACGGGGGGAGGGGGGGGGGGGGGAGGATGGGGGGAGGATGGGGATAAGGGTAAGGGTAAGTGCGGAGAGCGGCTTTCAGGGTAACAGTTGGAGTAGAGAGCTGCTTTAAGGGTAGTATTTCGCAAGGAAGTGGATAAGAGAAACGACAAAGATGACGTCGCGGCAAAGAGACATGGCATGAGACATAGTAGGACTTGGTAGTCGTATAAGAGAGTAAAGGAGCAAAGAGTGAAGGGGCAGAGAGTGAAGGAGCAAAGAGTGAAGGAGCAAAGAGTGAAGGTGCAAAGAGTGAAGGTGCAGAGAGTGAAGGTGCAGAGAGTGAAGGTGCAGAGAGTGAAGGTGCAGAGAGTGAAGGTGCAGAGAGTGAAGGTGCAGAGAGTGAAGGTGCAGAGAGTGAAGGTGCAGAGAGTGAAGGTGCAGAGAGTGAAGGTGCAAAGAGTGAAGGTGCAGAGAGTGAAGGTGCAAAGATTGAAGGTGCAGAGAGTGGTGCAAAGAGTGAAGGTGCAGAGAGTGAAGGTGCAGAGAGTGAAGGTGCAAAGAGTGAAGGTGCAGAGAGTGAAGGTGCAGAGAGTGAAGGTGCAGAGAGTGAAGGTGCAGAGAGTGAAGGTGCAGAGAGTGAAGGTGCAGAGAGTGAAGGTGCAGAGAGTGAAGGTGCAAAGAATGAAGGTGCAGAGAGTGAAGGTGCAGAGAGTGAAGGTGCAGAGAGTGAAGGTGCAGAGAGTGAAGGTGCAGAGAGTGAAGGTGCAGAGAGTGAAGGTGCAGAGAGTGAAGGTGCAGAGAGTGAAGGTGCAGAGAGTGAAGGTGCAGAGAGTGAAGGTGCAGAGAGTGAAGGTGCAAAGAGTGAAGGTGCAGAGAGTGAAGGTGCAGAGAGTGAAGGTGCAGAGAGTGAAGGTGCAGAGAGTGAAGGTGCAAAGAGTGAAGGTGCAGAGAGTGAAGGTGCAGAGAGTGAAGGTGCAGAGAGTGAAGGTGCAGAGAGTGAAGGTGCAGAGAATGAAGGTGCAGAGAGTGAAGGTGCAGAGAGTGAAGGTGCAGAGAGTGAAGGTGCAGAGAGTGAAGGTGCAGAGAGTGAAGGTGCAGAGAGTGCTCATGTACCAAGTAAAGGAGCAAAGAGGGCTCACAGAGGAGGACGAGAGGAGCGCCACGCTGCATGATGTTGACAAAAGGGTGAAAAGCTAGCAGTAAGAGAGAGAGAGTAAAGAAGCCCACAGAGAGTAAAGGAGCAAAGCGAGAGTTAAGGAGCAAAGAGGGCTCACAGAGGAGAACGAGAGGAGCGACACGCTCCATGTCGGTAGTAGCGGAGGAAAAGCCCGAGTGAAAGCTAGGGATCTAAACGCTAGAGCTATGAAATGTAAATCTGGTGAAACTGGAATGCGGACAGAAAGCGGTATAAGACTCCATTCCGGCGGCAGAGTACCAGCAGCAGCATCGCGGCGCGGGCCTCGCGATATGCTCGCTCAACGAACCAAAGCCACGATCGTTGATTTTCATGGGGACCAAGCTTCGACCAGCTTGAAGGTGCGACTCGCCTCGATAACAAGTTGTTGAAGCTGGGAGACTGGAGTACGAAATCGAGTACATAGATTCATGTTCAATTTAGGCCACGATTCGAACCGAGTCGGTGGTGCACCATGTGCGCCAGTCCCCAAGGTGGGAGGGGGGGGATCGGCGGCGGGGATGTGTGGCCCTCGATGCCCTAAAAGCCGACCAATGGGAATGAGGGTTTCACTCGAGGCCCTGCTCGACAGGCTAACACCGACGGCTGCGGAATCATCGTGGCTGTTTCGTTTTCACATTTTTCATCACGGTCAGCCCGTGAAATGTGCATTCGGGGCCTTAACGCTCGTTAACCTATTGGCCGAGTGTTAGCCTGTCGAACGCAGCCGAGACTTGACCCCTCGCACTCGGGTGCCTTCCCGCACGGGCAAAGGTCTAGCCTGCACGCAGCCTAACCCGCCCCCCAAAAGTGGGGTTTTGCAAAGGGCTCGTCAGGTGTTTGCAGTGGGAGGAACACCCACTCCGTGGACCCTAAAATAGAAACTTGTGAACCAGTTTGGTCCAAACAATTCGGATGCCTAAACTTGTGAGGGACTCTGTTTGTGGGATGGGCTTTTTTTTCTCTCCTGCGTTGTTACCCAAACACGTTTGGCGTGGTCCCCAAACTTTTCTACTGTGCCCGCGAGGAGCCAGGTTGAAGGAGGCGGGCAGCTTCGCCTTGTGGGACCCGCTCCTTCCGACCGCTAAGACTGAAGCTTCATCCCCCTGTTTTGCCCACGAAGGTGCGGTGAACCCTCATCTAAACACTAGCCTAGCACCGCCTTTTGCAGAGTGTTAGCCTGTCGAGCGGGGCCTGAGTGCTCTCTAGCGGAGCTTCCTCGCGCCGCTGGGACACCGCTAGCTTAAAGTATACGAAACCGTTGCCTTACAACATACGATACCGAACTGTACAACTGCTACTCGCAGCGCTGATTTGGGCGAAGTGCTACCTACTAATCACGAGAATACAGACGGTGCCCATTTCAAGAAGGGAAATTATACGGGGAGTCACAATTAAACCCGCTTTATCGCGTTTGATCACAGGGCTATCACGAACAGTCACACTACAGTAGATTCCTATAGCAAGTAATCACAGTGCTATCACGGATGGTCACACCTCGCCTCTAAAAGCAATCATGTTTGGTCACTAGATGAAACGACAATAATTAATTTGAAACCACACACAAAACTATAGAGAAATTGCGAAATCCTAGTATTGATTGCTTGTTACCTCGCGCATGATTCTAGCCTAACATTTAGGGGAATGAAGAAAAAACTAAACCCCTATAGAATGGCGCGTCCTTCAGGAGGAATCAACCCTAAACACCATGCGACATTGTGTTTAGGGTATCATAACATTATAGCTTATGCTTTTGTGTAGGCCGTAGTAGGGAATCCCATAGGGGGTACAACCCAATTAGGGTTAGTACTTGTACTCACTTCATTCATAGTTCATTCATTCTCGTTTCTTCTCATGGTATCGAGCAGGTTCCCTCGTGGGAACTGATCCTAGGGCCCACCAAGTCGAGATTTTTTTTCCTGCCCGGAGCGCGCTCCGCTTAGGCCCGAGTCACGCCTCGTGTGCCCTCTCTACCGTCGCGTCCTTCCTAGGCCTTCCTCGGCCCCGTCGCGTCGCCCCTAGCGGCCTCCGTCGAGCCGCCCTTACTCGGCCCGTCGCCGCCCTACGCAGCCCGTCGCCGCCCTTTACTCGGCCCGTAGCCGCCCTTACGCGGCCCGTTGCCGCCCTAAGCGGCCCGTCGCCGCCCTAAGCGGCCCGTCGCCGCCCTTCTTCGGCCCGTCGCCGCCCTAAGCGGCCCGTCGCCGCCCTTCTTCGGCCCGTCGCCGCCCTTACGCGGCCCGTCGCCGCCCTAAGCGGCCCGTCGCCGCCCTACTCGGCTCGTCGCCGCCCTACGCGGCCCGTCGCCGCCCTACGTGGCCCGTCGCCGCCCTCACTCGGCCCGTTGCTACCCGTTGCGGCCCGTCGCCACCCTTCCGCGGCCCGTCGCCACCCTTCCGCGGCCAGTCGCCGCCGCGGCCCGTTGCCGCCCTTTCCGGCCCTCAGCAGCTCGGCGCCGCCCTTCCCGGCCCTTCGCGCCGCCCTAACGGCTCGGCGCCGTCCTCTCGCGGCCCGCCGTCGCCGCCCTTCGGCTCAGCCCACCGTGTGCCACCCTACACGGCCCCGGCGCCTCCTCCTCCTATCCCACGGCCGCCCCACCTACACTCGGGCCGTCGTCACGGAGGCAGGAGCCGCCGCAGTCGGGCCGCGGAGCCGCCCAGCAGCCGAGCCGCCGAGCCGCCCAGCCGCCGAGGCGCCCAGCAGCCGAGCCGCCCAGCAGCCGAAGCCGCCCAGCAGCCGATTCGCCGAGCCGCCAAGCCGCCGAGCAGCCGAGCCGCCGAGCCGCCCAGCAGCCGAGCCGCCGAGCCGCCCTACAGCCGAGTCGCCCGCACTTCCGAGCAGCCCGAGCAGCCCTGTCTGGTAAGTGCGGCGCCTCTGTCCCTGCACTGCCCTTACCCTACAGGTCGTGCTGCTAGTCTACTGCTGTCATGGCTACCCCTAGTGTCATAGCTTTTGACGTTGAGGGTCGGGCCATTGACTTTGACGTCAGGGTAGACGACCTGCAGCTTTTCCTCCAGTGCGATAGGGCAGACGGACTCTCCCTCTTTGACCTCACTTCTGGTGCCTCTCCTGCTCCTGCTGCTGATGCTGACGCCACTGTTCGCTCACAGTGGGCCACGCGCGATGCTGCTGCACGTCTTGCTGTGCGTCGCCACCTCCCTACCTCTGAGCGTGCGCACTTTAGTCATTTTAGGAGTGCTCATACCTTGTACGACGCTGTAGTTGCTCGCTACTCCTCCCTTGCCACTACTGCACTGAGCCGTGTCATGCTACCGTACCTCTTCCCTGACCTTGCTGCCTTTCCCACATTCGCTGACCTCATTACGCACCTCCGCACTAGTGACAGTCGCTACCGCGCTGCGCTTCCTACTGACTTCTGCGCCAAGAACCCCCCCCCATCTACATCACCCTCTACTTCTTAGTCACCCGACTCCCTGACTCCCTTCGCGTAGTCAG